GTGTCGCAGGTACCACCGTGAGCCTCACTGGGACTCAAAGAGAGGCCCCGCCGTGTCTAAGAGCTTCCCCTGGTAGAAGGGACGAGCCCCTCTGTTGCTAATGGCGGTGTCAGCATCACGTGAAATATACCATAAAGTAGAAGCAAAGTTCAAGAGTGGTGCAGAGGATGAAGTGGCTCTGTCCGTTTGGGGACATCTGGAAGGCTTCGGGCAGAGGTGGCATTTGGGGTGGGTGGCTGGGATTATTGCAGACGGGATAATGGCAGAGGCCAAGGAGAGAGATGCAGGGCAAACGCAAGAAGCTAGGGTTTTAGAGAATAATGAGCGGCTTCTTTTGCCCCGGGGACTGGGCTTTGTGTCTGCCAGGTAAGGCAGCTGTGGGGTCTGGGGGAGGGGACTTTGAGCTTGAGTAGGCAGTGGTGAGGGGCTGACATTATCCAGGGAACCCAAGGGCTGGTGGCAAGGAAGTAAAGGGAGGAGAACATTTAAAACCTGTTGGAGTTTGGAGGGGCACCTGGGTGGCTCAGTCGGTTAAGTGTCCGACTTCAGCTCTGGTCTCGTGGATCGGGGGTTCGAGCCCCACATTGGGCTTTGTGCCGACAGCACGGAACCTGCTTCTGATCCTGTCCCCCGTCTCTCTCTGCTGTTCCCCTGCTCGTGAGTGTGTGTGCGCGCTCCCTCTCTCTCTCAAAAAAAACAAAACAAAAAAACCCCCACTTTGGAGTAAATGTCCACAGAGCATGGGAATGGGGCGGGGGTGGTGAAGACATTAAGACACAAGGATGGGATAGAGCGTACCAGGGAGCTTCTCCAGAGTCTCCTGCCAGAGGACGGAGTGACAGGCAGCATCCTGGGAACCGAGCGGATGGAATGGCGGGCACAGAGGTCCTACCTGAGGCAGGAGGGACTTTGCACAGTAGATTCCAAGGGCGCCAGTGGCAGCGGACTGGGGTTGAATCCGGACGACAGCGGCTGGAACGGCGGGACGTGAGGTTGGACAGAGGCGGGCCGGGCGGTCCCCGGGCCTCCTGGGCTTGGTAAGGGCTTCGGATCGAACTGTAAACGTATTTGGCAACCACTGAAGGGGGTCAGAGGCCGTGTTCTGTTTATCTGTTTCCAAAAACATGATCCTGGCTCATCCGTGTGGAAGGGATTTTAGGGAAGCACGGGTGGAGTTAGGGACAACAGGTGCCAGGTCATTGTGTGGGAGTGCGGGCGAGACGGAACACCGAGGCGTGGCTGCCGTTCCAGACCCGCAGATCGAACCCCAGCGGGTAAGCAGACGTGGCCGTGCACGGTGGTAGACGCCTTTAGTGCTGGAGATCTAGATGGATCTGGTCCCGGACTGTGATAACTAGTGTGCCTACTAATTAGCATCAGAACTCTTATTTTTTAGAGTTCTGGTTGATAGGAAATGTGACGTAAAACCCTAACTTACTGAAAAACCTGAGTTAAGTAGATTTTTAAACGTGATTTAAATGTGTTAGGATGTCACCTCATCTGTAGGTGCACAGAGCGTGTGCTCCAGGTAAAATTGGGGTTCCTTACACAATTTGACACCCATTTCCCGAGTCTTTTCGTGTCGTGTGATATATTTGTACTTCGGCTTAAACTCAGAGCCTCAGTTTCCCCATCTGTGAACTAAGGATCGTATTGCGTTGCAGGTTGCCTTCAGAGCTAAATGGCACAGAGCCTGGCATATGGGAGAAATCTGGCAAAATCCTGGTTACTGTTCGTAACAGCCTGGAAAGACACCTCGGTAGCATTTCTCTGATCCGTGAGGAGGAGGCGAGGTGTCCTTTTGCTGGTGAGGAAGTAATTTTCAAGGAAATTAGTTGCGGTGGCCCAAGTCGCCAGGTGCACCTTTGTTAGAGGCCGAGCACCCGTGTGATGCCCTCAGCGCGCCGGGTCTGCGTGGCGGACCTACGACTGCGCCGCAGACGATGGGTCTCCCTGTCCTGTCCCTGTCACGTGAGCTTCTCTTGTTTATCGCTTCTTGGATTGTTGTCCACTGCCGTGTTTCAGGGCCCGTTGGTTCTAAGGGCCAGAAGCTTCCATAAAGAGCAGGCAGACCAGGCCTGGGCTCTGAAAGCATTGGTACGTTTTCTGGCTGTGGATTAGTTGAAAGAGACAGCTTGTGGGAAACAAAAGGACTCTCCAGTGTTTTAATTTCACACTGTAGTGTGTTGACTTCTTTCAGCCTTTTTTCCTGTAGAACTTTGCAGACCGTTGTGCCAGGTGCCAAAACCCACCTAACTTTGGTAGTATTTATTCAGGTTCTGAGTACTTTTTTCCTTTCTAAATTAGGGATGTTGAAAAGTTCACAGTCCCCTGTTCTAGACATGACATCTCCTCTAACAGGTCTTTAGGACGGGGACCAGGCTTCTCTCCGGCAGGAAAGGAGAGATGACCCCACGCGAGAAGAACACCTCTGTGGTGTCGACAGTTAGCGGTGTCTTGTTCTTGGCATTTGCCGGATTTCTCGTAATATCTCATTAGCACTTTCTCTGTGGCTTTTTTGTTGCCTCGTCCCATTTTTAACTGCTGTAAACCTTTTTAAAAAACACATCTCGAACTTTTGAACCTCTAAGTAAGTAAAACATTCTAACGTGTGAAATTTTTGATGAAGGAATCAGCACCTTAAGTATATACATTTCTTTGAAACACTTTTATGATCTACTTTTTTAAGTTTGTGGGGGGAGATCCTAGCTTAACTTTATATGTTGAAGATATTCTAAGATTAATTTTTAAAAGATTAAGTGATTCTCACAGCCACTTTCAACTCGTGGCCTTGTCAGTACTGATGAAGTCACGTGATAAATTCATTTGATTGTTTTCACTTCAAGTCAAAGAGTAAATGTGACTGAATCTTCGATGTTTGTTACTTTTAATTTTTTTCTTTTTTTTTTTAAGGTTTACTTATTATTTTATTTATTTTTATTTATTTATTTTTTTTGAGAGAGAGAGAGAGAGAGAGAGCACAAGTGGGGACGGACAGAGAGAGAGAGAGGGAGAGAGAGAGAATCCCAAGCAGGCTCCATGCTCCGTGTGGAGCCTGACGCGGGGCTCGATCAGATGACTGTGAGACCTTGACCTGAGCCTAAATCAAGAGTCCACCACCCAAGCTCCCCTTACTTAAAATTTTTTTTTTTTAATTTTAATTGTAGTCTTTACCCAGATTAACTGGTAGCAGTCACTTTGTTTTTCTACCCCTAGAGAGATAAACAGATCTGAATAAACAGTTTTGTGTCTTAGGTCTTTCCTGTGTACGTCAAGTGAAATTGCAAATAATTCTGGTTGGTTCGGGCTGGGTGGTGAGAGAGGGCATTTCCTTCTGAAGTAAGATAATCTTTATAATTCACTTTGGTGTTGCGAGTGTTCTCGGTCAGACATTCATGGGGTACACATTGTTCTGTACTATTGTCCTTCTCTGTATTGTTTAATTGTATCGTGCCTTTTGTCGTACCGGGAGGCACATACCTTTACAAGACAGCTCTGTGCCGGGTAAATTCTTGCACTTGGAGGTGGTGTGAACAGCTTCGCTAAGAGAAAGTAACACCACCTCTGTGGTGAGCAGTTCTGACCCAGTTTCTGAAATGTGGGTGAGGGGGTAAAACACCCAGACTCCATCCATACGTCGTAAGTAACATACACCAACAGGTGCAGTTAGGAATGAAATGCCAGTGCAGTCGCGCGGGTTATTTTGTTCTTCTTTCTTACTCCCACAGCTGGCCCGTTACTGAACCTGTTACTTTTGTTCCTCTCGTTACCACCAAAAATACGGGTGGCACCAGGTTCTCTTTCTAGTCCCCGCTGCAGTAGGGATGTCCATCCTGCCTAAGAATCGAGCACCACTGTAGACTGTAGAGTGACTGAACGCCCAGGGTCCGAAAGGAAAGCCTGGCCCCTGTGTCTCAGACTTTTTTGTGTGTTTCACTCCGGCCGATCCAGGCCAAGGAAACCCTTGAACGGCTCATGGCGGAGGGAGGAGCCCCCAGGACCGGGATCGTGGCCTGTGGAAGAACAGGCTAGACGTAGGAAGGGAGGGACCGTTTTTGTCCAAGGATTCCCTGAAGTCAGTACAACTTAATCTAACTGAAGGTGACCCGTGTGGACCGCCAACTCCGTACCCCGTGCATGTGTGTGGGTCAGGTAATTCGTTAGAAAGGCTCATCAAGGTGAAGGACGAAGAGCCTCTGTGTCTCTTTCCTGCTTGTTTGGTTATCCCATCCATGTAACCGTCGTGCGTGTGTGACGGGGGGCTTTCCATACGGGATTTCTGATGCCATTACCCCAGGTTTACGGGTACACAGAGCGCGAGTCAGAGATGTCCGTGGCCTGTCCCACGGCCACGTGGTTAGGAAACGGAGAGGGGCGGCGGGCTCACGTGCTGGCCCTCAGACTCTTTGCCTTGACGTCATGCTTTCTCAGAGATCAGCTCGGAGAATCCCTTTCTGGGACGTACAAGCAAAATTGTTCAGTGTCCTTGACCCATTCCTGGTCAGAAAAATTTTGAATTTGCACTTTAGTGCCATTGTGCTTTTCTGAGCATTTTCCTTCTATGACAGAAGAGACTGCATGCGTTTAAGCACAGACACTAAGGCAGCTGCGATGGGGT